GGGATGTGTCAAGAAGGGGCACTTTGGCCTGTCTGCTATGGCCTCTTTGGCACATCCGGATTGTATCCGGATTTTGTGCCCTCTGGGCAGATTTTGGGCTCCGACGGCACATACGGATTGTATCCGGATTTTGTACCGTCTGGGCAGATTTTTGGCTCCGACGGCACAAAACACCGGATAAGGATATTATCCGGTGTTCCCTTTGGTTGGCTGTAAGCAGTCGGATAATCCTCACTTTCAGTTTTGCCCCCGACCACACAAGTGTTCTTTGTGTTCCTCGTGCTCTCGCCCCTTTCCTTAGTGCTACCTCTTTCCTCGTCCTCTTAACAGGATGTAATATTGCAGGTTAGTGAATTGCATTGGGTGAGCTGAGATATCATAATGGTAGAGAATTACATGTCACAACAACAATAATTGACCGAACAGAATAGTTGCGTCATAGTTATTGTGTTCTCCTGTTGATAGCTGTGTTTTCTGACTGCTCTAGACGAAATATACCTGGTTACTTGTATTGCTCAGTACCGTGTAACGTATATTGGTTTAGACAGCCATATAGATTTGGACTCCTCTGTAAAATGATATAATCCTCTGTAAAATTATATATTTGGATTATTACACTTGATTATTGTAAGCATATTGAAATTTACACTATCCGTATCCGGATACTTGCCCCGCCACTGTCCAAATCTATATATGTTACACGGTACTTGTTCCGAACAGTGTGTGAAAGTAGCATTTCGAAACAAACACATGACGGGCAAGTGGACATTTATACTTGGTTTACGTAAATCATTTTAGTAGGAGTGTACACGACCAAACATTTGTGTTGAAAACTCGTCGCCGTTTGTCGAAACATCGGAATTAATGAAGCATTATATCGCTGTCATTTGGGTATGATTAATGCTGATAATGTACCTCAAGAAACCTATGCCATCCATTATCCAAACTACTCTTCTCATTAAAGTACTCCGTAGTAGCTTTTTAAGCTCGCGTTTGTAAGGGTCAAAAAGTGTCTAGTGAAATTCTAAATGACGTCGTTTATAAAATGAAATCTGATCTGCCTGATGGTGACCGCTCAAATGACCCAGATTTCCATATTTACGTACACTTTTCAAATGCCCTTGGACATTTTGGATCAGAAATCGTCAAATTTATTGATGTGTTTTCAGAATCACGACCAAAATGTATGAAGAAAAAGGGATACTAGTAGTAGACAACTACCGTCAGTACTACTAATAGTACAGTACACCACAGTGAACTGGTACATTACTCTTAATAGTACTTCGACGTCGGAATCGATAAAGCATAATATGGCTGTCCATCGGGTGTACTAGTAGAGAACACCACAGTACAGTACTACAGTACTACTACGTACTACGTAGTAGTAGAATACTAGTAGTACACTGTATGAAGTACAGTATGAACTGAAGACTTTATTTCGTGGCACGCAGTACAGTACTGTAGTAACCCTTGAGGTTCAAATTGCAGGAAAATGACACATGCCATCTGATATCAAAGTAGCCATGCGCCAAGATACATGATCCCCTCGGATTCTTGAAATGGTAAGGGTGCCGGCACCCTTGCCATTTTCAAACCCTCGAGCTTCGAGACACATGAAGATCTTCCGCTCCCTCTTGCTGGTTGGCGCTACCGCCGCCGCCTTGGACACGTACTCGGCCAAAATTCTCGTGGACACCAACACGTTCGAATGCGAACTCATCGATTCCGTGCACGTGGCCCAGCTCCACCGCAGCGTGGAGCACCCGGACTCTTTCATCGAGCTCACAACGAAGCGCCAAAGCCACCTCAATGACTTGGACCTGCTCCGGAACTCGGAGGAAAGCGCCCAAGAGTTCGTGGAAATCATCGGGGGAAGCGTCGACGCCGTGCTGGGCCAGCTGGCCAAGCGGTGCCCGTCCGGCGCACTGCGCCACAACACAGTGCGCTCTCTCGAGTCCATTGCCGAGACCACCGTGATCAAGAAGATCGTCGACTCGGGCCCCCCCAAGAACCGCATTGACATTGTGTTTATGGGCGACGGGTACCAGGCGTCGGAAGAGGCGTTGTTCTTCAAGGACATCCAACGCCTGACCGACGAAATGTTCACCGGGGACACGTTCACCCAGTACCTCCCTCTCTTTAACGTATGGGCGGTGCATGTGCCGTCGGTGGACTCGGGCATCGGCGTGGGCGGAAAACCTCGCAACACTGCCTTTCAACTGTACCGCACCGGGACCGAGCTGCGCGTTGTGCTCCCAAACAAGCCGCAATACGCCCGCGAGGTGTGCAAAACGGTGGGGGAGTTCGCGTGCGACTTTCCGTCATTGATCGGGAACGATGCGTACTACGGGGGTCTTGGGGGAGAGTTCGTCATCGGGACGAGCTCAGCCACGTCGGGCACGTTGGTGTTGCGCCACGAGATGGGCCACAACTTTGGTAAAGTCGGCGAAGAATACGACGGGGGAACGATGTATTTCGGCGCCAATACGGCCAAGTCGATTAACGAGGCACCTTGGAAACATTGGTTGACCAACCCGGACGTGATCCGCGAGGAGAAGGCCGTCCAGCGGTTCCAAAAGCACATCTGGTACGATCTCCAGAAGGGCTCGTACCAGATCAAGTTTACGTCCAATGGCGCGTTCAAGCGATGGTACATCCTGGTGTCCGTATCCGGCGCCGACACGAACGATGCGCTGTCGATCACGTTGAACGGCGAGCCGCTGCCTTGGACCACCAAGGGTATCAAGGACCGCTCGTTTTACTCGTGGCGTAGCTCGGACGCGGGGTTCACAGCCGGCGACCACGTGCTCAACATCACTGCGGGCGGGTCTTTCGACAGCCCGATCATCAAGCAGCTGTGTAACGCAGTGATCTACGAATACGCCGGCGAAGACGAGTTTAAACTCGACGACAACGACCACATCGGGTTCTACCCCACGTGGGACATCAACAAGCGCCTCTCGTACCGCCCCGACAACGAAAAGTGCCTCATGCGTAATATGACGTCGCCCCAGTTTTGCGCGCCGTGCCAGGAAAACTTGTGGCTGCAATTCCTGACGCGCATTTCCTTTATCGAAGACGTCATTGTGACTGGTAAGGACGTCGCGCTCAAGCTCATCCCGCTGGGCCAACTCCGCCCCAATCCCATCCCCTACGAGCGGTACTCGGTCCAGTGGTTCAACAACGGCCACGAAGTCAAGACGTTCCGCGACCAGTTCAACATTGACGTGTCCACCGTGTCTGGCGCCGCCAAGCAGTGGACGGTCAAAGTCAACTTTACCACTCCCACCATCCGCGTCGACTCCAAGGGCGTGACTCGTGCCGAACGCACGTTCAACGTCGACTACGCTCCTACTACGAACAAGACGTACTGTTAACCAGTTTGCAGTGTTTTCTAAGTGCTGTAGTACAGTAGGTGCAACATGCGAGTAGAAATCTACTAGTAGCTGATACTACCGGTAGTAAGAGCATCTCCAACAGAGTAATCTCACGAACCAAATGCGTACAGTGGAGGAGGTACATACAGTACTAGTACCGTAATGTAACCCTAACGTTAGAGCATCTCCACTCGTCTGACTTATACTTCGAAGTAGCTTAGTTTTATACGGATACTGTAGCCCTTAGATAGGACCAACTTTGGACTTATCCTCCACCAGTTGGATTTATTGTGGTCTGTTTAAGTCCAAACATAAGTTCAGCCCCGAAAAATCTATAATAGGGCTTTTTCGTCGGGAATTTTGTTGTAGACTTAAGCTATCCGGAGAAGTGATATATTTTGAAATACAATACAAAGGTAAAGCTCCACATAGTAAAACAAGGTCAAGAATAAAATATACAAATACCACTTCAATTTACTGTACCACCAAAAATCACAATACAAGACGGCATGAGGAGAGGCATGGGACACGGAAGAAAATTGTTCAGCTTGCCAAGTCGTGGCTCGCCATCTCAGGAGATCCTGCAATTGGGGCAGCACAGAAGTCCTCGGACCTCAACAAGCGTGTGTACACGCATCATAGTTGTTAAAATCTACTTTCTGGAAAAATGGATATTAGGTTTAACAGTTTATATATAAAAACCAGTTTATATAGTTTATATTTCAAGATTAAACTCTTACTCAGAGTTTGTATACTCGTCGCCGAGATTGTAGTTCGTTTTGATGTACAGTACCGCCGCGCCTTCGGCGATGAATGCGTCGTCCAAAGAAGCCAACACCCCCTCCACCCGCTGCAGCCAATTCGTCCTCTAGCGAACGCCACGCAGTTGCGCTGGGCTGCCTTGCCGCTACTTGCTTTTGCGTCCCTCGTATTGGCCGTGAGTGGCCCTTAAGCAATGCGTCAGTCTTTGGTGTCAATAATCTGCTTAATGTATGTTATAATGCTTCATGTAAACCAAGCATTCTTTCCTCCATCTTCTACTCGTATAAATAGGCTAATGAAGTTCAAATTGATCTCCTATTATAAGCGAGGATAAATGTATATGTCTACCAACGAAGGAGACGAGTTTTGATGCAAGTCGACTTTGTATTCGATTCTCTGTTCAAAACGTATACGTATGGACTTCAAATTTTGGCCACCAGTTACGATGTCCTTTGGAAACATATCCACTACATTCCATGAGAATAGCGTTACGTATTTTTAATAGTAGTATAGAAGTATGTCATAATTTGAAAAGATTACGTCGAAATATAGCATCAAGTGTTACATTTCATATGAAAACTGAAGGCATGGTTGCGGGCTACATAACAAGATATCGTGTGCGGCGATTGCACTTATTTGGCATGTATGAAGTGACGGTGGTACCAGTTCCACATACATAGCGACAGACCAACTTGCCTATGTTCGTGCAGTCCAAGAATGAGTAGTTTTGGTCAAGGAATGGCCGATATATAGAAGTTTGTGTGTGTCGAGGGCATCTCTCAGCGGTGGCACTAGTCCATGAATACGGATAGGTCGAGGTAGAGTAATCCAAAATGCGTCTATGATCGCATGACCGAAATTATGTGGGACGGAGACCGCTCACCCCAAGCAATCATCTCTCGGTGGAAGAAAGTCTGTCCTATGCTGTCCAGCTTCAATGCAACCGTCGTCCAAGCGTTGAACTCTATCCCATCTGGGTGGAACGAGCATGGTGTCATCAGCAACGAGCTATATGCCATTGCTGATGCCAAATCGCACGGTGTTGAACGCACCACAACTCTTGCCTGCTGGCGAATCGTGCGAGACGCGCCGAAGTGGCGCGTGGAAGTTGAAACGGTACAAGGCAAGTGCAAGGCGGTCGAACTTCTGCGCCCGGGGGGAACAAAACATGCAAAAGCAGTCAAGCAAGCGCCGATAGCGCTTGACGCTTTGCATGCTCGGTTCGTGAAGGCATCGGAGGAAAAGGCTAGTAACATGGCCAAGCGACATCAACTGGCGGAGTTGAAGTTTATGTTCCAAGTATTTGCTCAAGATCCTGAGTCCGAAGACGCTATACTATTCAACACGCAGTTGATAGCTAATTTGCTCCTTCGCGCCTGTAACGACATTACTCCAGTGGTGTCATAGGGTTATCGACCAATCAGAACATACGTCACAGTTGACGTCAGTTTACGACCAAGCTCGATTGGCGTGCGGCGTGCTCGGCCATGGACACCAGAAGTTCCTTCTGCAGAGCGCACGTATATATATAGCATTAGATATAGTATAGTCACAGTAGTCATGCATGTAGATGTAGATAACGCCAATCAATCAGTTTACAATTTCCTCTGCGTTATCAACTCCCTACAGTTGGTAGCACTCACGGTTGACAACAAGGACTTACTTCCAGGGGCATAGCTCGTAGGTTGTAAGGTTACTCTATCTAGCTC